ACACCAAGGGGATCAAGAAGAATGAGGTGACATAGGTACTAGGATGTGTAGGCAATAGCCTCAGGGTGGGGAAATGCAAAGGTGTGGTATGGGGAAAGCTTGGAGTGACCTCAGATAGACAGGTCCAAACACACACACACACACACACACACACACGCACACGCACACGCACACGCACACGCACACGCACACGCACACGCACACGCACACGCACACGCGCACACATGCTTATTCCTGGGGATGTTCCTTGCAAGGGGTAGACAGGGGTACTTGCAGTTATGACAATGCCCTGAGATTCTTACCATCTGTGCTGCTGTGCTCTTTAGAACAGCAGGCAGGGTCCTTCTGGTTATTTCCTTTATTTTCTGAGCAGAGCCCATGATCTAGGGTATGGAGAATGGTTTTAAGTGTGCCATGACATGGATATGGATCGATGAACCTCTGAGTTCCCATTGTCTACCAATGAGTCCCCAGGAACCCAGAAGATTACAACTGAGTCTCACCATAGGGAGAAGCCAGCCATATTCATTATTGTTGACACCAATGATGCTGGGGACAGGGTGAAAATCAGCAGAGGCCAACAGCTCCTTAGGGTGCCTGGGAAAGAACTCCCCATCTACCACAGCAGGGATGACCTTGAAGACCTGAGAGGCATTAAAATTCAATGCTGAAGGTCAATGAAATACATATGCCGATGTCCACCCCTTCTCTACTTCCTTATTCATCTCACCATGGTTATTCTTCACAATACCTCTCACACCTCACCCCTGTAAAGAACTTACACTTAGAATAGCCTATGTTGGTATTGATTTTGCACCCAGGACTAAAAGGATACTAAATCATGGAGATTAGGTAATTTGTTCATAGGAATGGGGACGACCTGTAACACACCTTGCTATCTGCCATCTTCCCACCAAAACAATTCTTCAAACCTTGTTAATAGCCAGAATCTCCGCTTCATCTTTGCCTCGTAGACAGCGCACCAGAGTCTCTGTGTTCACAGCTGCACAATCAGATAGATGTACCACCATCTGTAAAGGGAAGAACATGAGGGTGCCTGGATGCCTTGTCATCCAAGCAGACAAGTTTTTCTAGTTCCAGGAGGGTACCATTGGCTCTAAATTTTCTACCATGCTGTGTAATGTACTTGGACTGGAGTAAGAACAAAATTGTTTCCATTTACCTGTTGCTCAGCGGTGACAGCTCTCTCTTCCCTCTCCTTCCCTTCTCCCCCTCCCACTATCCACCCACTTTGAGAAATACTCTCTTGTTCTGCTGCAGCCTATACCAGTCTAGCTGGTCTGTAACCTTCCCGGGATCATCTTGTTCCTGCCTCCAATCTCACCATAGGAAAACCTGCATTAAAGATAAGAAAAACGACACCTGGACATATATTTGTTCTGGGGAATTGAACTCAGATCCTCACTCTCACACAGCAAGCTCTCTTGCCTCTTGTACCATCTCCCAAACATATACATACTTGATTTGCCAATGATGGAAGGTGCTATGTACAGCTTTGCAGAACATATAACATATGCACCCTGTATAAAGCACTGTGGGATGGGCGGGGTGGGGTGAGGGTTCTAAACCTTGAGTCTTTAAGGAAGTACTGAGGAGAAGTTAGTTCCCATGGTCCTCATTTTCTCTACTGTACACAGTAGCAGAGTCTTGAGAGTGAGTGTTAAGACAGTTGGTCAGGGCTGGAGGGTTAGAATGCACTCACTTGATAAACCTCCTCAGAGGAGTTGGAGATGAGATCAGGCAATATGGCCACTCCACTCTCCATGATGGCACCATGGAAGAGTCCTTTGGACATGGGGGACACAACATGTGAAGACACACTTGTGCCACCTGCAGACTCGCCAAAAATGGTGACCTGGTCAGGGTTGCCTCCAAAGTGGGCGATGTTCTGCTGGACCCAGCGTAGGGCAGCCACTTGGTCCAGGTAGCCCCAGTTGCCTCTGGCATGTTGGTCTCCAGTGCTGAGAAGTGGAAGGGACATGGATCAAAGGGCTGTCTAGGTTCTTCTCAGCTGCCACTGCCCAGCTCTTGTCTCACCTGAAGAAGCCCAGGACACCTAGACGGTACTGGATATTGACCACCACCACATCCTCAGTGGCTGCTAGCGTAGATCCATCATACATGGAAGCCATGCCTACTACCAGAGCACCACCATGGATCCACACCATTACCTGGAGAAGTGAAGAGAATTCAGGAGACTTCTATAGGGTACAAGCTCAAGTGGGAACTGCCTCCCTGATTATGGATTAAGTCCTACTGTTTTTATCAAAAATCTCAGCTTGGATTAATGGATTTAAGTCCAGAGTAATGTCACTATCACTCTCAAACTCCTCAAAAGTGAGGAAAAGGTGTCTCCATAAGAGTTTTCCTGATTATGAATCTAAAGGGTCAGCAAATCTCATTGGCACAACCAATATCCCAAAGCTGGAAATTGGACTTTTCTCAATGTTAATCCCTTGGACACCTGATTAGGTCTCTAGGGATCAAGTTTGTTGAGAAAGTCCTGAGTTAGTCCTGGAAACACAACCCCTGACCTCTCAGAGCATCAGTGTTCAGTGCCCCATATCCAGGGTTTAACTGCCCACCATGACTGAGAAGGCTTTTGTAGACATATTATGAAAGGCTTCTTATCAGGGCCTATATGCACTGAAACTCAGTTGGCCTTATCCTTTTATTATTATTATTATTATTATTATTATTATTATTATTTAACAATACTATTCAGTTCTACATAACAGCCACAGATTCCCTTGTTCTCCCCCTTCCTGCCCCTTCTCCTTCCCCCTAGCCCATCCCCCATTCCCACCTCCTCCAGAGCAAGGCCTCCCCCGAGTCAACCTGATTGACTCAGTCCAGGCAGGTCCAGTCCCCTCCTCCCAGATTGAGCCAAGCACCCCTGCATAAGTCCCAGGTTTCAAACAGCTAACTCATGTAATGAGCAAATGAATGGAAACACATGAACTATGAACCAAAGGCTGAGGGGCCCCCAACTGGATCAGGCCCTCTGAATAGGTGAGACAGTTGATTGGCTTGATCTGTTTGGGAGGCATCTAGGCAGTGGTACCAGGTCCTGGGCTCATTACATGAGTTAGCTGTTTGAAACCTGGGACTTATGCAGGGGCGCTTGGCCTTATCCTTTATAATCTTCCTGAGAAAGAAATTTCTACCCAAACCCATTTGACCCAACTCTTACAGGCAGGTTAGAGCCTTCATGGGCATGGGTTGGTGTGTAGATGTTGAGATACAAGCAGTCCTCAGACATAGAAATGGGAGGCATGATGAGTTTCAGCATCTTCAGACCCTCTGAATCCATCATATCACTTTGTAGACACCTGGTGAAATAGTAGACAGTTACTCCAAGAGACTTTTGGTTTTCAAGACTGAGTTTTAGTACAGATTTTCTCTCATCCATTTTCAGCCACTTTTCTCCAAGATGTCCTGCTGAAGCATGATTCCTCTCTAAAGCCCTTTTCTACCAAGGTAAAGACTACAGGCTCAATGAAATCTGGGATGGAACCAGATTTCCAGAAAGGCCAGTCCTTGGATGAGGGAATATATTTTGTTCTTTCTGATCTGGGATCTAGAGAAGTCTTGGGGGCTCAATGAGAATGACTTCCTGCATGCACTGACAATCACCACTTCTCTTTGTACTCTTTAATTGCTATTGAGATGGTTAGTTTTGATTTCCTTCTCCAAACAACATAGAATCACTCAGAGATATTGTCTCAATGAAGGATTGTCTAGATCAGCATAGCCTATGGGGATTTTCTTGATTCTGTTAATAGAGATGGGAATATTTCCAAACATGAGTGGCACCATTCCCTAGGAAGGGGCTTCTGAACTGTAAGCAGAGAAGGCCAACTGACCATTAACAGGTATGTATGCATTCCTTGATCTCTGATCCCAGTTAAAGATGTGATGTGGTCCAGTCCCTTATGTTTTCCCCCTCATAATGGATAGTAATATGGAAGGAACTGTGACCCATAATAAACTGTTCCTACCTTAAACTGAATTTACCACAGCAACAAGAAATGAAGATACCTGGATAATGTGGTGCTATGTCTGCACAGGTATTAATGAAGTCAGTGGATAACAATGTCCCAAAGTGTATCAGGATGGTTTTCACCCTATGTCCAGAAACTTAGGGTAGCTCAACTTCCCAAGTAATATCCAAGAAGCTTTTATACATTTCTTTTAATCATGGCAGAGGATGGAGTTGCCAAGGACACATCACTGATGTCCTCCTGAGAGACTTACAGTACATGCCACTAGACGCTGGGCTTTTGCTGGTTAATGTGCTTATATTGACCCTTGTTCATAGACCTCTTTCATGGTGGCAGAGATCACTTGGCATGATCTGAATCTGGGAACAGTTTTTATCTGTTTCTCACTGCCAAACTAAGAGCTAAATCCCTTTAGGAACTGAACTCTGACCCAGGAAACTGGCAAAGTTGTTCTACTAGAATCCTTAGTCATGTATCTGAAAATGCATGGCAGAGTACACATCACAGACAGAGAACTTCTATGGGGTTGGGATGAAGGAAGCACCTCATTCTGGCCCAGATCTCAGAGCACATTCTCACCTCAGGGCTCCAAGTTCTCTGAGTTCCAGAACTTACATGGCTGGGTAGGAGGTCCCATCTCTCACACCACTCCATGGTTCAGGGGCCTCAGGGGGTGCAAATCGCAGAGGTCCTACAGGTGGCTTGGCAAAGGGAATTCCCAGGAAAGTATGGACACCAATTGTGGTGCCCTTCACATGGACGAGGCTTCCTCTAACCTGGCCAGTGTGTGTGTTCCTGATGGGGCTGGTTGAGTCCTGGCCTGTGAGTGGAGAGATACCATCAGGGTTAGTTCTGTCCAGGCAGCTGCCACCACACTGTTGTTTCCTACCTCATTTTTACTTGGGTACTTGAGGAAAGGAATCCAGGGTGTCTGAGTTCAAGTGTAAGATGTGGGAGTAGGAGTTTCTTTATTCCCCTCATTTCCAGAAACATTGCTCATGCTTCTTTTGAGTGGTGTCTGTTCATGTCTCTGCCCAGCAAGGAGACTACTCAGAGCCACTGGCAGCAGAAATGCATTATTTTCATTATTATCCAGAGTTCTGTAGCAGCTGCAGTCTCACACAGATGTAGTAAGTGTCCTTTTTTACTTTCTTTTTCTACTCTGCAAGTCCCGTGTTGCTCAGACTTCTTACACTGGAGTGACTTAGGGTATGGGGTCTTTAGGCAACTCTAGCTTTCTGTGTGGTGCAGGGATCACTGTGTAGGCTTTGGTGGGGGCATTAGGAAGTCCACAATTCCCACTCTTTTATCTGTGGTCTTTACCAGCTCCTTCCTCTTTAGTTCCTTTCCTCCCGAAAGATAAGCTGCTGAATCTGCATAACTGGGCAGCTCTGACCCTAGTTCTCACTGCTAATTTAAGGAGTCTTACCTTGCACATGTAGGAAGAGAAGCAGGAGCCCACAGGTCACAGCATTCAGCCAGCCAGGAAGTCTTTCCAGTGTCATGGTCGGCAGCATAGCTCTGTGTCATGGACAGGAAAGAAAAGATGTGGAACTTGTGTAAGCAGGAATTTGGACCTAAAATAAAGTAGGTGGAAACCCAGTAGGGTGGGGCAAAGTTCTTCTTGTCCAGGAGGTGCAGACTAGCTGGCAGCAAAGCAATCTTTGTTCCTGCTCTTTGGCCTCCTAGAAAGGGATATCATGGCATCTCAAGTCCTTCTGTACTACCAGGTATCCTGTATGCAAACTTAAATAAATTCAAACCATGATAGCTCTCTTGTACTCAGTGGTCAGAGGTCAGTGTTGTGTAGATGGCCAACAGAAAGCTATAATAGGGTAAGCTGGGGTGCAGTGCTCCTCTGAATAGGTAAATACTGAAGATGCCACAGATGGAGAAATCTGAGAGCTGTGACCATTACAGTGATGTTAGCATCTACTAGGACCCCATGTACAGGTTGTGGCTGTTTCATTCAAACACTGCAACTCTGACACGTTTTAAGTCCCATCCCCTATTCACACTTCCTCTATAATCTGTTTCCTCTTTTAACCAGCTCTTGCTCAGATAAACTTCATAGTTCTTTATTGACTTGAGAAACACTTTTAATTTTTTTCAATGTATTTCTTTATTGTGTATGTGTTTACATGTATGTGTGAATGCCATGGCACACATGTAGAAAACAACTTCCACCAGTCAAAACTCTTCTCTCACTATGTGGGTATGGTGATTCATTTCAGGTCCTCTGGCCTTCTAGAAAGTTCCTCTATCAATTGAGTCACCTCCTGGCATCTACTTAAATACTTAATGGGGCCCTGCTCATCCCCAACACTGAGGACATTCTGGGCTCTCACAGTCTACAATCAAGCTGAAGATACAGGTCTGTACTGGGAGTTTAATAATCCCAGATAATCCTGGCAGAACACATAGAAGAGTACAGGGTTAGGAGCTCCCACAAGGCCCGGCTGACCACTTGGAGAAAGCGATACAGGGATCAACCTCAAGCCTGTGAGAATTTACCTTTGCTCTGTCTTTCCAGACCCTCATAATCTATGGACTCATGGCTCAACACTGCAGAACTTCCTCTCTGGTGTTTCTCTGAGCATGATACAGCCATGCCTTTCCACATCCAAACTTGCTATTGTTTCAATGTCGTGGTTGCAACCTTGTGACTTGTGACCTTGTGACCTTGTGACTGGGCCCTGTCTATCCTATCTATAGACAGGGCCCATGCTTGTGCACCCCTGTGCAATCTTACTGGCTGCTCCTCTTTCTGTCCTCAATTCCTTGACCAAATGCAATGATGGGTTGTTGACTTGAGGTTTTCAGCTCCTTCTTACTCAGGGTCAAGGAATCTGCTTCTCCATGTTTCTTGGGCTTTCTGCTGCTTCTTTTTGGTATAAGACTTTTTCTCGGCCGGGCGTTGGTGGCACACGCCTTTAATCCCAGCACTCAGGAGGCAGAGCCAGGTGGATCTCTTGTGAGTTCGAGGCCAGCCTGGGCTACCAAGTGAGCTCCAGGAAAGGCGCAAAGCTACACAGAGAAACCCTGTCTCGAAAAACCAA